ATTTCATCGCCTCCGGAAGCGCTGATCTTGAAGTGGGAAGGACGATCGAGTATAAGTTTTTGTTAAGAAAGATCAGTGTTTTCCAATGGTTTCACTTCCGACTGAAAATGTTTAATTTGAGTACAAATAAAAATAAAATATATGCTTCCGAAAATGGAGACAAAAGCCCGCATTACATTCCGGATGACCTAATACATGGTGCCGCCGTGGCAGCTGGGGTGGAAAATAGAAAGGGGGAGGGGAGGTGTCGCAAATTGCGAGGATCACTGCAAGGGAATCTCCGGGTGCGCCGGTGCCTGCGAGGCGAGTTGCCGTCATGACCCCTATCTACTGTCTTCGTGATCGCGCAGGCAACGTGCGGTGCTGTTATCGACAGCAACATCACGATTCCTCCCGGGTACCATTCGCCTCTCTTCAATGGGCTCACCCCTCGTCAACTTCTCAACTACTGCACAGCAACCCCGCAGGGCTTTGGGCCCTTAGAACTATTGTTGGAATTCCCTGCTGTCGAACTGTATTCGAAGATATTCCCCAGTACAGTTGGTTTCCTGACGGGTCCGAGGTAGAGACCCGACGTGAGTTCACTTTTCTACTGACCTTTGAGTGTACACTAGGTTGACGTTAGGTGAATGACGAGTAGTCCATAAAGATATTATATTTATGTGTGTTGTTAGTTGTAGGAAGGTGTAGTCCTAGTTTACAAGGTATTTAACAGTTCATTGAATTCCAATTTTGTCGGAAGGATGGCAGTGGTGTAGGTGTAAGTCAAGTGTTAAGGGTCACAGTCAGGGTCAAGCGTGCGTTGAGGAATCCTCGACATGTCACAGAGGGGGGGTCGTATTGGCCCGCTGGGGAGAGATCGGGCCCGATTGATACAGTAGGATCATCGTCGGAGGACAAACATTAAGGATCGAATCGATACCAGGCCAGAGTATTTCCAATAACAATTGATTCCGTCCACACAAAATCTTCGTGATTTAGAGGTGTCCGCTTAGCAATTCTTAGTTACTTCAGTGTTTTATCACCACACAAGTTAAAGAATCCGAAATTCGCACGTTTTCCAAGGGATATTTTATCTTTCAAGTAGGTCCTCAAATCCAAAGAGATGTGAAGCACACGGCGCATCCCAGAGTGGGCCCAGTTGGTTGCGCGCGCTTCAGCTACGGCTATCTTGATAACGAATCTTAATTCAGGAAGAATCAAGAGGGTTCTGAAAGAGTTCATGTTAAATTACAGAGAGGAGTACACTATTCAACAAGAAACGCAGCCTTCAGCGTCAAATTCACAAGCATGTAACCTTTAAAGTTGAGACCCGCTAAACAATTTTACACTTTTTGCAGAGAGAAAAGCACGAGGATTTTGAATCTGCTCCTACTTCAGTATGTAATCGCTCCTGCAAGGAGCTATAGTCGTTGGGATAGTGCTAATGTAGCGAAAAAGTACCTTTCGGCGGTACTCGGGCAAAAATCCTCAACGTGGCCATTTTTTAAATAGTGAACGTATTTAGCAGTTTTAGTTGCCTATAGAAAGAGCAAATCTTCTAGTTTATGATGACGTATTAACTTTCCAGATTGCATGAGTTTGAACGGAGTTATGGCTTTCTCGTTAAATTTTGCAAAAATCCTCAACGTGGCCATTTTTTGAGTACTGGACGTATGAAGCTGCTTTAGCGACCGTTTGATAGAGAAAATCTTCTAGTTTTGTATGACGTATCAACTTTTTGAATTTGACGGAAATGAAGCAAGTTATTGCTCCGGAAAGTGTAAAAACTCGTGCTCGTCTCGAATTTTCCTCGTTATTTGATCTAAATTTGTTATTTCTTATAACTTCCTGTAATTTCAGTACTGATTAGAAAAGCTCTTCACAAAACTCCCAAATCAGCTTTCAGATTGAAAATTCGTTAACTTTGAAGAAAGTTATAATCATTTGAATATTTGTTCAAATTTCAATAGTAAATAAGCTGCTCCACGGTCAACGCCAAAGTCCAGTCAACACACAGCTGGCGAAGGCTTTTACAAGGCTTCCTTTGAGCGAAAGGGGGACGTGTAAATTGAGAACCATAATCTGTGTAGTACTAGAATTTGGTAAGTCTTGTGGAGGAAATAAACAAAGAAGAGGTGTTCTCATAGTACGCCATTTCTAGTGACTAGTTTGACGTTTTTTGCTCCGTTTCTCGTTTGCTCGTTTGACAGGACTCGTCATTAATGATCATTCTTTGACTTTTTCACTTTTATACTTTTTAAACGAGTTTTTTTGTGGACGATGGGGTAGCAGGGCTTTTTTATGAGCAGTTTTGGTGGAGAATTAAACAACTTTTTCATAGTTCGGCTTTTAAAGAGGGTTGTTTCATGGACTTCGGCCTTCGGCAGAGGGGGGGGTCGTATTTCCGAATTTTCCTCGACGCCTCGCTTGACCCTGGTCACAGTTCACGTATTGATCAGGGCTAGATGCCCAAGTAAAGTGGAGGTTGATGGGAAGCACTTAGCCTCAAGGGTTTTTGGGAGTTGTGTCCCTCAAGGGGTTCGCGCTTAGGAAGCTCACGCGTTCCTCTTCAGGTTACGTGGGTTTCCACCCTGCGGTCACCGATTCACAACAGGAGGGGAGGGAAGAGAAAGGGAAGAAGGAGGGAGAAAGGGGATGGAAGGGAGGAGGGGGAGGAGAGAGTTAAGAATTACACCGCTTCCGACCTTACGGTATGATCCGGTGTTGAGATACATATAATTGCAACGTGATTGTGATAATAATTCAACAGCTACATGAACTTTTAAACTTTCCACAAGGTGCTGCAGTGGCAGCAGGAGAGAAGTGAGGGGACGACGGGATAAGTTTAGGAGGAAAAATGCCAAGCTTCACAGGGAAGGGAGGGGTAAGGCGGTTGCCGGGGGACCAATCTGGTGAGCTGAAATTTTTAAGCATGCACGGTCACGGGTCGATATGTAGGGTTCGTTTGAGCGAGATTATCAAGTTCTCGGGCGCCATGTTAAATATTAATTATTGGCTAAGTTTGTTTAGATATGGACAAAATGTATTCTGGATAACCCGTTAAACTTTTTGGTTTATAAATACCTCCTCTTTCAAGAGTATAAAGCCATTTGCAACACAACTCAATTTCCCTCAAGAAAACAGTGAGCATCATACATAATAGTAGTTAATGTGACCTTTTTTACAAATGAGATCACGTTGACGATTTGGCATAATATTCGTGGCTTCCGAATATAGCAGGATACAGATGGTACCAAAACGTCTCGATGGCATGTCTGAGGTCCATGTTACTGTATTGCTTTCCATCTGTGTGAATCTCTCTGACGATAATCACCCAGATGTTTTCTATTATAGATCTGGGCTGCAGGCAGGCCAAGCATACACTGATTTCGTTAATCTTATTAACGTTAAAGGCAAATTCTGTGATTTCTGACGAAATTTAGGTTTTCCCTCAAACAACCACCTGGAACGCTAAATGATAAGCTGTTGTTTGGAAAGTCGTAGGGAATATTTAGCGGATTTCAACTGCGAAAATCAACATCAAAGCCTATGTTACGACCATTTTCGAGAACGTTGTCATCATTCTAGTGAGAAGAAAACTTTAAAGATAGGAAGCAAACAAAAAAAGGACATGGCCAAGCGCGTAATTTTCCCAGCCCTGGTTCATAAGCGACTAACGAAGAGGAATTTCTAATTTTGGAGCTCCATTTCCTGCTTCGCTTCATTACCTTCGATCAACTCAGCACCCAGTTCTTCATACTCGAGCAGGTGACCCCCTCTTATTACCTCGGAGTTTGCCTTTAAGCCGGTGTTGACTGGACCGTCTGCGATGGACAGTGGCGTTATCGCGCATAATGATGAAGTTTGCCGACGACCTACTTAGTGGGAGGTGATCAGAGAGAACATCCTGATATTCACTGAAGTCCATTCGACACGACATGAGAACTGGAGGGAGCACAGCACCCCTGTTATGTCATATGTTCCTCCGGGCGAATTCGAGGCGAGCTGCTTTGTGATGCTGTTCCGGACGTGGAGTCTTCATCATGGATTGTCGCACGATATTTGGAGCAGAGTTAGCGACCCTCCAGATGGAACTTTTCGAAGCAAAAAGGGAGAGCTCGTATCGGATCTGACTGATCGGTCGCAGTAGAATTGGAAAGGGATCGTTTAATATGGCGGATATCATGTTCGAACAGTACTCGTGATCTTCCAGAGACTTTCTTCCTTCCGTAAGGAGGTGGATTTCTTGAAGTTGCCGAGAAAACGGCGAAGCTGAGCAGCTATGGTGCGGTTTGTGCAACTAGCTTTATGTGGTGTCCTCGCATGAACTCTCCGATAAAAAGCTTGGATCGTCGAGGCATGTAAGACGTAACATGCTTGTGCTAGCTATGGCCACAGAACTTCAAGCGAATTAACTGGAAGCGCAAATTTATCAGTGTCGAATCAGTATTTAACGAATCACGAGACCATTATTCTCCCTTGGAGCAGCTGCATTTAAAGGTGGCTTTATACTTTTTGAACGCGCTGTATGTCCCCTTCCACTCATTTCTACTGCCATACGCGAAACGAACTTCGTAATGATTGGCTCTGGCTCCCCTTACCGGTGCGTACCAGTTACCATTCTCAGTCGCCCACCAGAACGTTCCCGTCCCACACCCCACATCATGTTCAATTTAGCGCTCCATTTCTTTTGTGAAGCGAGCTGTGAATTCTGTGATACATACATAAAGAGACAGTCACAGGGTCTTATATGCAGTAGAGATCTTAATTTCATTGTTTGCAAATTAAAACTAATCAATGCGTTATAATGTTGGGAGTTTCCGTTGCAGAATCAAAAGGTAAATGCCATGTATGTGGATCCAGAGATGCGTCTTACTACAAGCCATCACCCTAGTGTAATTCTCGTTTTGCACACATGTCCTACACCGGCTGACATGCGTCGCCGGCCGTGCAGGGCCTTGATATTCAGCACCAATCCAGCACCAATTCGTGTGACTGCAAAGCATGAAGCCTTACCCTCGGGGGCCTCCAAGAGTTGCGACCACTACTCTTGCTAGTCCACCAAGACTTTCAGCAGCAGTGGCGTCTCCTACCTAAAAGAAGTCATCAAAATCATGACGTTTACAAGAGAAATTTGGTGCATTTGACGCAGCGAGAAGGCATGTTCGTTCACTCTATCACGGGTACTGCAGAGCGACAAAAAGAGCTACACCCTGCGCTCATCCATTTTGTCGAAGTTTTTTGTCTTTATGATTAGACTCAGTCTGTGGTTGTTCACGGTATGAAGCATCTTTAAAATTGTATCGGTATCTATAAAGTGGTTAGTGATACTTCCAGAAAACGTCTCCTGGATATGCGACGAGCACCTAAGCTGCAAAGAAGTAATTGATTATCGGTTCACAGGAAGAACCCCTGGCCTCGGGATGTGCCAGGTACTCTTCTTCATGCACTACGCTGTTCCCTTGATTGAATATTTTAAGAAAGTCCAGGGTACAGTTCTCATTTTTTCAATGTATGGTACCTGCGTAAAGTTGCAGAGCTATAGAGCGCCGCGGTGGCAGAAGAAGCTCTTTTTTTTAAATTTATAGGAGCAGAGACTAAGAATCACTGAGTTATTCCAGATTCCAGCAGTTTCAGGGTATAGCTTCTTTGATTTTGTACCGGCTTTGACATGCTCCTTGAATGAGCCTCTTTATTTTTCACCATTGTTTCTTTAGTTTAAGATTCACAGGTTTTCACGAGTATGTGAGCTTTAAACGCTGATCTGTTCTAGAATTCTCTATTCTGCTATGAATTCTTTTAGTACTAAAGCGAGGCTCAGAAATGTTACCACTAGAGCGTCGGACTCACAGGAGTCTTGCCTTCACGAATGCTCAGACCCATGGCTCGAAGCGACCTCGTGAAAATTGTGTCGTAAATTGGCGACCAATCCATGAAATCAGGGTTGTTGTAGGCGAGTCTGGAATTTCTTCTTTTTTCTTATCCTCCAATTTCATTTTTGGTAATGACATCTACTTTCAAATGTCCAGACTCACGTAGCAAAAAGGTTGGGTAATTCGTTTCCCCATTTATCCCCCATTTCTACAACCTCGTACATTTTCCACATAGTCTCGAACCATAGAGCAGCGCCATACTGCTTGTGTTCCTAAAAACGAAGTTCGGAAATTAACCGTGGAAAGAAGATCGAATCTATCAGCTCACTTCGGTACTCATTCTGATTGGTAGAAAGAGCAGTGCGAGATCGCAAAATTCTTTTGTCGAATAAACAGGTGAGAGATGAACTTGAATCTGAAAACTATGTCAAACTCCACATTTTGGCAACCGTACAGTGCCGAACCTCGACATAAGTCATCACGTGCAGTCCTCGGGGGTCTGATAAAGAATAGAAATCCATTTCACTAGGTTATGTGGAACGTAATTTTGAAATGCGATGTATAGCAACGTCCAGAAGACAGGAAACTATTGGGCTCTCTCACGATTCTTGTACTACAATCGACACATTCTTTTATGCAACAGTTATCGCTCCTAGGATCCAACTGGTTATTGGTACAACTCAGGCAGGAGTCATGTGAACGATTCCCTTCCGCCTACACAGTGGAGTTCGAGAGGACAATCGCAAATGTGGCACTACCGTGCATGAAAAACGCGCGAAAAGGGTTCTGGAGGCTGGCAAAGTGAGCTGCAGGCAACGACGTACTGCACCTCAACATATTAACATTTTTTGCAGGACCTTCGAGTTGACTTTGAATGTTCTGAAGACGAACACCTATATAGCTTCACTTGGGGATAATAACTCCCTCCCAAAATCTGGGGTAAAGTCTAATATGACGAATGTTATTCTAGACTTTCTGCTCGGGGACTTTATGTCACTTTTTGGCAACAATCCCCCTCTGCTCTAATAAAATCAGCATAGGTAGAGACGGTAACCTTCCAAAATAGGGTTGCTTCCCCAGATATGTTGGTAGAATCGATGATTCATCCTGAGACCAAAACGATGTGACTCAAGTCGGCTCCGTGTGAGTGTTCTTCTTAAGAATGTGTGCACAATACTCGACCTCTCACTTGTCACGACCAAAGAAATATTTTCTTGTACACCGAGGGCAGCGAAGAAGCTTCGAATAGTGGAAGAGGGAATATAGAGTCTACAGTTGCAACTTCGAAGACCGTTGGGCAGTCGCTTGATTTTGGGTCGATGCGAAGAAAACTTCACAGCGGGAGTTCAAATGAACTTTGGATCAAATAGCTTATGGAGCTTCTGACACAGCTCCCAGAGCTTTCAGAAAAAGCCTTTCGAAACATTCCGAAAATACTCCTCGGCTTACTACCAGCAACTGGTCAAAATCGCGTCCTATAATTATATGCCACCCTGTACATCCAATTTTTCTCGTAAAAATTCTTCATCAAAAGTGACTGGATAATCAGTATGAGGTCTGGTAATTCGTAAAACCAAACGGTGGCTAGTGAAGAACCTAGTAGAGCCATCGCGCGAAAATATTCATGTGTTGAAATCCTAAGGGACCTGGCTACAACGCTAATACCTTCGATAAATGACTCTCAGAGTCAATTCGTGCCACTGAAGGAATTTGTACTTGCAAATCAGTACTTGTCAAGTAGCGTGCGTTACGAAAGTAGCATCAAAAATTAAGGAGATCTGTTGGGACTTCTGCCTCACACGTCACATAGCCCAACCTAAATCTGGTACCGTCCAACCACAAGCTATTCAGGTCAGCATTAATTCAGATGAAGAACATTTCTGAACGATGCCCTGTGTTGCATTTATCTAAACAAATGTTTTTCGAAAACCACATCTCTAATTAGACAAGCATATAACAAATTAAGGATGAACGAACCTCATCATATTGAGGGTGAATTACGAACCTTGTCCCATATTTTTGGCGAGTCGCTCGGTTGGTAGAAACGCTTCAATCGAAATACAGCATTGCGCAGGTTTTTTCCATCAACTTCCTCCAGTTTACCGTAGTTCGCACCATAATATAGTTGATACACCGGTTCCCAATCTAAGGTCAGCTCCTTGAACCCAATGTAAGATTTGCTGTAATCGTTGTCAAATTATATTTTTGTTAATCACAGTTGTGTTCAGAACACAAGCTAACTCATATATAACAACTCACTTCACTAGGTCTTCTAGAGCTTTTGCCGAGTAGGTGATTATTTCTGCCCACTGATTTTTTCGAACGAAAATAAGGTAAACCAATTGAATTAACTGTATTAGTTCATCTCTCGTAAATCGAAAACCATAAGTGTTCACATACCTAAACCTTTTCAATACTGGCAAGGCCTGCACTATAATTGACATCTGCTACACTAGAACCAATTAATCTCCTCTCAAATAACGCTCACTACGTGCTTCTGCGGACTGGTTTTTGAGGGGTACATGATGGCCTGGACGTTTGAAGAAGCAAAGGGTATACTATGGGGTTGCTTTTCAGATCGTTCAAAGCGTCCCCTTCAGGCTTTTAGTCAAAAAATCAGCGAAGGCTGACTAATGATGTGCTAACAGTGGAATGAAACAGTGCCAGTTTTTTACTATAATACCTCTGGGATTCTCGAAAAAATATTTGTGGCTACACTAAAGCTTGACCTGCAGGCAGGAACAGAGCAACTCTGATAGCCTCTTCAGGATAATAGCTTTGACGAATTATTGCTTTCACAGTAGGTATATTACTATTTCGTACTCGCACAACTCACTCTTTAGCCTCGGTCTCGAAAAGACTTTAATCTTATATCAGCACCGTTTGACTACGGGTGGTACACATGTTTGGCAACACTAGTCAACAGGTTAGCACATAACGGCGATGTTTTTGCGTGAGCGGACCTGTGTGCTGGTTGGCTTTTTTACCGCCTCCATGGTGGCGCACGCTGGCACCCAGGGTAGGTTTTGCAAGCTTGTGAATGGTACTGGAAACCATGTTTTTGTGCCCGAACTTCATAACTGAAGGGAATTCGAGCTGTTGGCATCCATGTAGCCCTCCATTCTGATACTTCACTTCAGTGAGAGCAGGTTTAGTGAAAAAAAAGCTACTCCAGATTTATCTCCGGACACCACGAATCCAGCAACTTTCAGGTAGGGAAGCGACAACTGTAGGAAGGTTGTGGATGGGGAACCATCACCAAGCCTATCTAGCATACGAAGTACACTGTGGTGTGACAGCACGCTATTCTCCGAGAGAGCTCAGATGAGAGCAGAAGCAACGCAGCTTGCGCGCGAAAACTGAATCGCATCACTTCGAGAAAACTCTGCGCAAGGAAAGTTCATGCACATATTTCCTTATTCTTACTTATTTACGAGTTCTCTGTGTTTTGCGCTTCCGGGTGTTCTTACGGGTATCCCTCGGGTTGCGTGCAATTCCTAGTCGTACTTTCAGGTATCTCTTTTTCTTTGATTTCCTCTGTTTCTTTTTTATCGTCGCATTAGCCATGGTTTCTAGGATGCAGGTTTTTAATCTCTAGCTGTTTTGGAAATACTACTTGTTACTGTTGAAGTGTAGTGAATAATAGGGAGAAATTGTACATGAAGATGGTTTTATTGGGAACGTTGTTGATTGCAGAGAATTTGCTATCCATGAAGCTATTCCGGTCCTGGAAATATATATTATTCTACTAGTTATCAGCTACTAAGTGGTTGATAAGAGGATAGCCATAGCAACGGTATAGTTTGAATAATCTGACATTCAAAAAGGCGTCTACTTACAGCATCCTTTGTGCTCGCAGGACCCGAACGATCTCAGTCCAGAACTGACTAAACCCAATCGCGTGTCCAAAGAGATCAGTCACCATGTAGGACTAGGAGATTGCCCGAACTAAGAAGTGTTCTAATGTGTAATGAATAACTGTTGAGTAACACATTTACTTAGCTGTTGCCGATGCAATGTATATTAGTTTAGACGAAGACCTGAAGAAGGTTTTATAAACGCCGAAAAGCGATAGGAGAGAGAGGCCCGGACAGAGAGGTTAGGGTTGTCGAAATATGGCTGTTAACTGAAGCTTCTATCTAGAGCGCTGGCTACACAGAAGACTTATTCAATTGAAAGCTGCAGGATCGTCAATAACTATGTGATCTAAAACTTCATCACAAAAGACAGATGATAACTAAACTAGAAGTAAAGGATACCTTCACATGTTAACAAGTTAAACTATGCTAGGCGAGGACAGTCCACAGCTATGACCCAATTATAGCCAACATTGGATAGAGTCCTTACTTTTCCTCACGAAATCGCAAACAAGACGGATGCCGATTGGTATCCCGCAGTCACTTAGCAATTTACGGAATATGGTCTACCGTTTTCACCATTACCGACAGGGATGCGGTACGAAATAGCATAAAACATCTCCAAGACTGCCTTCTGGATGCCACAATTGCTGAACAAAAACACAAGCGAAGCTTGTGTATACGAACAATTGTCATCATCTAAAAGCAGCTCTACGACAAAGATTGACCTCAAATTGCTGGAATCAATTGATTGTTTATCACCAGAAGAGAGAGAAATGTGGACAAACACTCTTCGCAACGAATACAGATCTTCGGCCCTCGGAAAGTAAAAATTTGGCAAGCCTCAATGCATGCGTCTCAAGAGCAAGGTGTCTTTATGAGTCACCCAGCGTATCAAGTTGATATCTAAGGCGGAGTGGTCGAAGCGCACCAAGGACGATGCGTCATTCCCTCCGATGGGGATGCAATGCGATAGTTGAGAAGGGAATTGATTCATAATAGACAAACTAATTCTGTGGAGCGGCTCAGGGAGGTGTTTGACGCACAAGGACCAAGATTCTCGGACAATATGGCGGGGCGATTCAGAAATTTGGGTATTCTCACAGCTGGAGAGAGCAGATTGGAGCAACAGTACCCACGCTCCAAGAACATTTGAGAAGAACCATGCCTTTCCCGCAGAACCCCGTTTTTGTGCACCAACATACAACCCAACATTTTTGTCAAACCTGAGAGAGCTCCAGACCAATATCCTTCGAGTGTTTGATCACTACAAAAAGCGCTCGGAAGCCCAGACAACATGACTCCGTCAGAACGAAATGGTCTGCGAAAAGCAATGATGTTGAAACATGCTATACGATTCTCAGCTGGCGACAAATGTGGGTGGATTTGTCGTTATGTCGCGCGAAGCGAGACATAACTCTGTCCGAGGCGGTTTTATCAGATTTGTCAACATAAACATAACCACGATAAGCCGCTACAAGCAAGAATGCAACAAACTCGAAGAAGTGATAAGGAGGATTCTACGTCCAAAGTTAGAAAAACACACTCTGGCTCGTCTTCTTCCCAAGTATACGTGCATACCCACGTATTATCAGCTTGTGAAAACTCACAAGTTGGAATTTTCCGAAGAAGGAGAAGTCATGAGCGACAACGATATCAAAACGAGACCGATTGTATCCTCTTGCGGAGGCCCAACGGACGCGATTAGCTGGTTCTTACAGCACATGTTGTCACCACTGCTCAATCACGTACCTGCGCATCTCAAGAACGTTGATCACTTTCTGAATAGCTTGCGGGAAACAACAATTCCAAACGGTTCTGGAACATCATATCAAAGTTTTGACGTATCTGCGTTATACACCAACGTAGATGCAAGGATGGCCATCGAAGCGTGCATAAGCCTTTTAAGACAACACCGAAACAGTTGTCAGCTTTACGGACTGTCTGTATCCGAGATCGAAGAGCTTCTGATAAATGTTGTCAAGTTCAACGTTTTCCGTTTTCGAAACAACGTTTATATGCAGACACGAGGATTAGCAATGGGCAGCCGTATTGCACCGCTTCTGGCGATAGTATTCATGGACCGCTTGGAAAGACGTTTCCTATCATCGGGATTGCTGTTCTACGGTCGTTACATAGACGATATATTCGTTGTTGCCAAGTCCAGAACAGCACTACGTCGAACCTTCACGAGGCTGAATTCAGCGCATCCGAATATAACACTGACTACTGAGGATCCTGAACAGGATGGTTTCCTTCCGTTCTTGAACACAAAAGTGAAACTATCCGGAGGTCATATACTCTCCATGTGGCATAAAAAATCTGCTTCGAAGAACATACTTATTCATGCGAGAAGCTGCCACCCTCTTTTTATGAAGAGGAATGTTGTTCAGAATGCCTTGGGAACAGCTCGAAGGTTGACGTCCACTAATATTCCTGAAGTGATGGAGAAGATGGCGAGCATACTCCTCGACAATGGCTACGGAAACGGACAAGTGCATTGTTGGCGTCCATACCAGGCTCCAGGAGGCATCCCACTGATAGTTCCTTACATGTCCGACTCCTTTGCGAGAGATGTAAACCGCGTGATAAGGACATCTGGGATGCCAATCCGCCTGATATTTCGTCCACCGCCAACACTGCGCCGCCTTCTTACATCGTCGCGATTGTACGAGGATCGATGCAGACGCGAAAACTGTGCATATTGCCAGGAGGAACGAAAAATTTGCCTGTTGAAGAACACTGTTTACGAAGTAGAGTGCGCGTCCTGCTCGGAATTCTACATTGGAGAAAGCGGACGACCACTCTACAAAAGGCTAGACGAACACCTAAGGGCCCTCCGGAACCCTTCCAGTTATCCGGAGAATCCCTTCTCGAGGCACCGTTCCTTGCGTCATACGAATGAACGCGCTCCTGAAATCAAGGTGCGCGTGATCCACAGGAATATAAGTGACCCGGTGGAGAGGAAAATCAAGGAAGCACTAGAGATTCGGAGGAGGAATCCACCCATCAACAACAGGGAGGAGCTCAGAAGAACAATGGAAGTCATTCTTGGATAGTGATAAGAAAGGATGGTTGCGGAATGATGGCAGGACTGATGCTACGTGACAACTGGCAAGAAGTAGTGTGTATCTTATTGTCACCCCATAGCACTGCATCACCGACCGAACTGCTCCATTTCTAACGAAGTGGACAGCGAGGGAGGTGAGTCGTTGTTGCAGCTCCCTTTCCTGACCATTCAACGTCTATTTCCAGCAATCCTTTGAGCTCGCAGGACCCGAACATCGTCCCAACTCCCCTCCGTTCCAAGGTCAGTCCTTGACTAGGATTCCCCTAAGAGTTTCTATGTGTAATATGTATGTAACATTTACTTAGCTGTTGCCGAATGCAATGTATATAGTTTAGAGAGACCTGAAGAAGGGTTTATAAACCCGAAACGTTGTCGAAATAAATGTTAAATGAGCTTCTCTTCAATCTGCTACACAGAAGACTTATTCAATGAAGCTCAGGAATCGTCAAATACTATGTGGTATATTTGAATA